CCCAACCCACCCCCCCCCCCCCCGTCTTTCACAATAGAAATAAAAATGAAAGCAGTTGAATTTTTAACTGTCAGTCCCGTCTGTCAGTGCCACGCGTTTTACGATTCAAGGTATTGGAAGCATTTCGTTCAAGTATTTTTGTTTTCGTTTAGATTCAATGGTAGTACATCACAAAAAAAGAAGAAAGTACTGTCCGACTATAATATTCTCAACAACTTAGCTCATTTAAGTCCCGTTGCACATCCACAAGATACTTCTGCGATAAGTTTTACAAAATCAGTTAATAAAAGACGATCTTCGTTTATTGCATGCCGACGAGGATCATCATTGGCTAAAACAGAGAATCTATCTACATTATGTGATGTTACCGATAAAAATGAATATTTATCTATTGAACAGTTACAAGACTTTTTACAAAAAGAACAATATTTGAAATCAATTTCAATTGCGGATTGTGCAAAATTAATTGCGAAATTTGAACCATCTGTAGAAGGACGAGAATCCGAAGAGTTGAGCGTCGATGGCCTACGTTTACTTTTACTTCATGATGAATTTTGTATTATGAATCCAAATAAAACTAGTCGAGTTTATCATGATATGACACGACCAATTACTGATTATTTTATAGCTACATCACACAATACGTAAGTGTTTGCTCACACAAGAATTAATATGATTCATTCTTTTTTTCAACGCGATCTAAAACAACAAGGATGTTGAAGAATAGGGATAACATTTCAACACCATTTACTGCTACCGCAATCCTTGGCAGGTGTTATTGATATACGATTTCAATTTGATCTAAGGCTAAAAATATAAGCTGCGTATTACATTTCTTGAAGATAAAGTGTGAAGAAAAAATAATAAAGATTTCGTCTGTGAAAGGTTTTTTACCTACGTTTAGAACACGGAAACTTCTTAATGAAATAGAAAAATGATTAGTAAAGTGGATCTAACTGATATCAATACTAAAAACGATAGCAACGCCATTTTTTTACATTTACATCCGCAATTAATTTCAAAGATGTTTTCGTCACTCAAGACAGTTGTATAGGATTGCACTAATACGTTGTTTTTTTAATCTCGATAGTTATATTCGTGATACTCAAATCTATGGCGAGTGTACGCCTGAAACATATATTCATGCATTACGAACTGGTTGTCGAGCTGTCGAAAGTAAATATCTTGTCTTGGCGAAAAAGATTTAGTTCATTATTTTTGCTTATTAAATTGCAGTGGATTGCTACGATGGAGATAATATGGAACCGATCGTTTATCATGGTAAAACGCTAACGACACCAATTACATTTCGAGAAATCATTAAGGCGATTAAACCGGAAGCATTTAGTGTTTCACCGTAGGTTGATTGAGATTTTATTTTCAATGTTTTTCTTCTTATTGTTATTTATGATAGATATCCAATTTTTTTAAATATTGAAAATCATTGTACATATGAACAACAAGGTATTATGGCTCATCTGTTGAAAGAAGTTTTTCAAGGTAATTAAGAATCCCTTCTTTTTTTTCTCTAAATTATGTTATATTAGATCATCTCTTGTCGAAGCCGCTAGTAGAAAATTTCGACAAACTGCCATCACCAGAGGATCTCAAATATAAAGTGCTAATTAGAGTAATTAAAATTTAATTATTATTTATACAATTTGCAGATGAATTCTAGAGTCGTCGATATCCGAAAGAAAAAACTGCAGCTGATCCAAAATCCGATCCAAGCAATGATGAAACAGAACCGAATCCTAAAGTATATATTTTTCAAACTGCGCGATCATCTATCAAATCGATATTTAGGATTATCATCCTGAGTTTTCAAATTTAATTATCTATTCTGAAATTGTTTCCTTCAAAGATATAACACATTCACTTTGCACACGTATGTTGAACATACGCTTTGTTCATGTAAAATTTGATTAATGACTTTTTGTTGTCTGACAGAAAAATGTTTTCATTCAATATCACTCAAAGAATCAAAAGCAGATGCTTTAATTGATGCGCGTGTCCCTGATAATCTTGATCTGGTTCGTTTAACACATCATCGTCTAGTGCGTGTTTACCCTGGTACAAAACGACAGAATTCAAGTAATATAGATCCAGTTGACTATTGGAATTATGGTAGACAAAATTGAAATTTTTGTTGTATGCCTTTATAAGCGAATACTGTGTTGTTTTAGGTGTACAAATGGTCGCACTTAATTATCAGTCGAATGATAATGCTATGCATCAACAACATGGACTCTTTAGTGATAATGGAGGTTGCGGATATCTTCTAAAACCGTCCTGCTTGTTATCCGATGATCCATTATTTGATCCAAAAGCAACAAATTATAAAAAAGGCAAATATCTACAAATTCGAATAATTAGCGGACAACACTTACCAAAAGAACACGGTTCTATTAAAGATAAAGATATTGTTAATCCTTTTGTTGAAGTTATTACCTATGGTATAAGACATGATTCAACTGAGCACCGTACACGAACGGTTCATAATAATGGTCTCAATCCAATATGGGATCATAAAATTGATTTAGATATTTATTGTCCAGAGTTATGTCTTGTTCTGTTTAAAGTACGCGATGAAGATCGATGCGGGGCTTCGAAATTTCTTGGACAAGCTTGTATTCCATTTACGGCCATTCAACTTGGCTATAGACATATTAAATTGAAAGAGAAAAATGGTGATTACATGTGTGGTACACTATTTGTACATGTTAAAATTGAAGATTTTTAAACTTGATTTTTGTTTTTTCCAAGAACTTGTCAGATTTAAATCTGTGGTTTCGTTTTTTAATTTAATTTAATTGTGCTTATGTTTTAATTGAATCACATTTAATATCATATCTACTAACTATTCAAGGGTATTTTCTAATCAAAAACACATAGAAATAAATCTGAATGGTGAACACCAGAAAACAAAGTTTTATTTAAATAATTTTTTTTCCAGAATGCTACTATTTCGATATTCATTAGAGCTTTGTTCTCGATGTCGTTTATTACCTCGACAGATTCGATTAATACATCAATCGGCATATCTTTTAGCACGCGGAATTCGTCGTCGTCCTGTTGAACATTCCGAAGAACCAGCATCGCCATTTACAAAGTTAGATAAAAATCTATCGATCGATAATGATCACAGTAATCAAATGTCAGTACAAGAACAATTTGCTCGTCTAGAATTACAACGATTAGAACAAGAATCACAGAAGACCGTAGATCAATCTAGCAGTTCATTTGTAGTGGAAGATAATCTCGATGAAGAAGAATTGGAAAATGATGAAAACAAACAAACCCGGCCATTCATCGATCCAAGTACAACAAGTATTATTATTTTTCCTGGCCAAGGTACGCAGTTTGTTGGCATGGGGTAAATTTAATCATTTTGTTAAAGTATTGAAATCGCTTTAAAAAAATAATCATTTTAGGCAACAGGCGATTAATCATCCAAATGTTAAAGAAATGTTTAATATTGCTCATCGAATTCTTGGTTACGATCTCTATTCTAAATGTATCAATGGACCCATAGAAGAACTCAATCAAACTCTCTATGCTCAACCTGCTATATATGTAACATCATTGGCAGCTGTACAAAAGTTAAAAGCTGAAAATCAAAAAGTATGAAATGATATCGAATTTTGAAAATTTACATTCATATTGAATTTTTATTTAGGCAGTTGAAAATTGTGTAGTAGCAGCTGGTTTTAGTGTTGGTGAAGTCACAGCACTTGTTTTTGCCGGTTGTATGACATTTGAAGATGGCCTTCGTTTAATTAAAACGCGTGCGGAAGCAATGCAATCAGCATCGAACGAAGTCAATAGTGGAATGATGTCGGTGTTTGTTGGTCGTGAAACAAAATTAACTTTAGCCATCGATGCAGCACGAGAATGGTGCAATAAATATATGAAAATCGATGTCCCTTGTATACAAATAGCGAATCATCTGTATGCTGAATGTAAAGTACTTGCTGGCCATAAAGAGGTTTGACCTTTTTCTTTTTAAATTTTTAATGAGTACATATATGCGTTTATTAAAATTAGGCTTTACAATTTATTGCACATAATTATAAAGTATTTGGAATACGTCGAATTAAATATTTGCCTGTAAGTGGTGCGTTTCATACACCGTTGATGGCGTCAGCGAAGCTGAAATTAATCAAAGCATTAGATAAGATTGAAATGCAACCACCGCTTATTCAAGTCATGTCAAATGTTACCGGTAAACGTCATTCAAATGATGTTGCATCTATTAAACGATCGCTAAGTCAACAATTGACAAAATCTGTACTATGGGAACAATCAATACATAAAATGTATCAACGTTCAAAACAGAATACCTATCCAAATACGTTTGAATGCGGTCCAGGACGACAACTTGGCTATCTTCTTCGACTGAATAATAATAAAGCTTATCAACAGTATCATCATGTTGATGTTTGATTAAGTTTTTTGTTTTAAATAAACTTCAAAACAAGAAATCATCCTAAAGATTTATTTTCGATTTCATAGCGGTAGTACTACGGAAGATTTTACATCAATATTTTAAACAATTTGCAGTTGCTAAGGAAAGCAGAGAGAGACTCTTATGCTTCGTATCTATGACTTTCATCGTGTTTTGAAAAAGTTATAAAGGTGAACGTGCATTTTTTTCATAGATCTAAATGGTCTATTTATCTTTTCTTGTATCTGAATACTTAGGGAAAAAAAACTTACAGGCTCAATTCTACACAATAAGAGAATAATCGAAGGATTAATTTGTCATATCATTTTATGCCTGTGAATGTGTAACAATAGTTTTGAAAAATTTATTTAGACGTTTTTGAAATATACACGATATTGTTGAAAAAAAGAATATTATTTTGTTTCTACCGATAATTGGGATGTGGGTGTTTGATATGCATTCATCTACGCCCACACTCACACACCCGCTCAGTAGACATATTCTTGTACAGAACTATTAATAAAAAGGCACTGCGCTCGTCGTGAAGATTCTTTATGTAGAGATGATTCGAATTATTGGGCTTCAGCATCATCAGTCCGTGGCTTTGCTAAAAAAAAATAAAATATCGCTGTGCAACAGCTTGTTCTCGATAAGTTGCTACTTTTCAAAGAAAATATTTTTACTAATACTCTAAATGTCTTCACTACCGACTGTATTAGTCCTATGGATTTATCTAATTACAGAAAGCATGTCAAACATCGGCAAAAGTATTTGCAATCAACTCATTCCAACAAAGATTCCGTTCTGGAGAAGCTTGCCACAAGGACACAGAATGACATACTAGTGCATTCAACCAAGAAATCAGAAGAAAATATTCATTCTAAAGTGTCTGATTTGTCTGCACGCGTATTCTTGATGAGTCCAAACTATCTAGAATGGTAGTAGAGTAGTTCTTGAATTATTAAAGTATATAGCATAGCTTCCTTATGAAAACTATTGAAATCATATTTAAAACAAAACTTGATTTTTATCAAAATAGGAGCATGTGATAAAAAATAATATGCTAATTTCTTTTCTCTTGAAAGTACTGATTCTGATCATAACATCCGGGTGATACCAATCATAATCGTAAGAGGTGAAAGTGAAGTTGAAATAGAAAGCATGACTAGATATTTTTGAACAGCAACGTGCGGTATATATCTTTCATGCTAGGTATTTTTTTATTAGTAAGGACAAGCGAAGATAGGAAATGTCTATACAGAAACCGAATTTCACATGCAAAAAGATATAGAGATCACAATTTTCTTTTACTCTGATTCTCGGCTCAAAAAGAGATTTCCGATTATATTAACAAATTAGATGCGATTAATTATATTCGATATCTAAAAAGAACACACTATAAAAGAATGCATTAAATCATGGCTCGTGTCCATTTATTCTATCCACTCTTTCTCCGTGCAAGACCATCCTTGACTGCTAAACCTAGCAGATAGACAGCATCCGGTATTCCATTTGAATAGATTTCCATATCATGTTTACTAACCCAAGTAAATGGTTTTGTGCGCAGTTGAAATCTAACCAAAAGAATATTATTGTTTTCAGTATCAAATATATTTGTTGTAGATGTCAAAGATTTAGTTTCCATCAACAATAAATGATCATTCCATTTAATTGTAAAATTTCTTACAAATATTGCCAATATTGATAAATAACACCTTTCGACCATTTTTGTTTACGACCATCATGAACTTCAAAGTCTGCTTCATACACGAAAGGGGTTATACGAGCTTGAAGTTTACCGGTAACATTCTTTCCTGGATAAGAAAATTAATTCAATTGTTTGTAGAATATCATATTTGGACTCAGTTCAATATTGAAGATGTTGACCTGTCGGATCATAAACAGAATATTCCCTTGCTTTGAATCCACTAAGAAAATCAGCAACAACAAGATATTGTCGTATCGGCGTTAAAGACATGACAACAGGTAGAAGCAGTAAGATTATAATTCGAAATATCGTTCGACGATAGATTGTAAGAAAGTGAAGTCAAGGATACAATAACTAGCAGATTGATACACAAGTAAATACTTGTTTAGACTAATCGTATTATTTTTTTTTCTTGAATGCTTCTCTCTTGTATTCATCACTAATTGCATCTTTTGTGTACTTTATTGATGATTATTCGCAATGTTTAGAAATGAGAAATCAAATCAATCAAAAATACTATGTTTTTACGAGTATAAATAAACAATAGTGTTGAAAATATGAAGACGTCTCACATGAGTGCGCTACATCTATTCAAAGGATCGATCCCTACGAGCAATAGATTGGCCTGAATAATTGTTTAAGATCATGTATTTGAGAAGTAGACTAAATATAATTGTTAGTATCCGTGGGATTACTGCTAAAGTTCTACAATTCTTTGCATAGGGTGGCAAATATCAAACTGTTACTAATTTAAAAATCTGAGCGTGAGAAATTTTTTTAAATCTAAAATTCTGAAAAACTATTAGCATTTTTGGAGATTGAATTGATTCATGAAAACTTTCATTGATATAATCTTTACTAAGTATTATTTCAGGCCCTGTCATTCAAAATTAGTCAGTAAATCAGAAATCTACCATTGTTATAATTGACGAATAACCAGAACTAGAAATTGAGGAAAGTGCCATGATAGATTCTTATCAATCAGAATTTCAGAAGACAGAAAAATTCTTCTTTGGAATTTGCCCTTTTTGTAAATTGGCAATCAATGAGAAAAATCATAATAGATAATATCGCAAAAAACGAATAACGTAAAAATTTAGTTAGAAGATATATAAGCAGAAAAAGCTTTGGGTGTTGGTGTGAGTGTAGCTATGTGAGCACGTATGAATTAAATACGCACTCACCCCGCCTCCCCCTCCCCCGTCACAGCCACAGCCACAGCCACATCCATCCACATAGGGCTGGGCAAGTCAAGCGTTTTTCAAGCCAGAAGTCAAGTCAAATCAGGAGGCATAAAAAATTTTCACTAGTCAAGTTAAGTCAAGTCTGACTTGACTGGAGGTATTTTGGAGTTGACTTGCTCAGCTCTGCACTCACCCACCCACCCATATCCATATCCACATCCGTAAATCTCTCATTCACAGCACAAAATATTGCTTGATAGAGAAAAGTATACCGTAATTCATTTTTCGTGATTAAAACTAATGATTAAACGTTAGCCACGTTAATGGATGGTAAAATTTTTTTCATAAAGAAACCATCAGTTCCTTTTGGATAAAAATAAAAATGTGATACTGTTTGATTAATGATTACATAAATCCTTCGAGTCAAATCAGGGAAAGAATATCTACATTTTCATCATTATGTTAGACGTTCGTTTTTCTGACGTCCATAATGATTAATATCAAAATATTTGTTTTATTCTTTGACATACCACTAATCTCACATGCAGACACTACTTGCAAGAAAAACTAAAGGCAAATATTAGCTTATCGATTAATTTAATGTGTGTGCTTCTGTTTTTCGATTCGCTTGTCCTGTTCAAACAACAATGATAAAACATTGGTTAGAAATCAAAAATGCCAAGAAGCAAAAAGAGGCAGTTACTTCATTCTTTCCTAGGCATACATAGAATTGGACTACACGAAGAGTGGCATTATCGTATGAAAGAGAGGTACACTAATGGCAATAATAGTTTAGTTGAAAATGGCATATGAGATGTGTGATGGAAACAAATAACCTACAAACAATATTTGTTTTCACTAATTTGTTTGCTTTGGATGAAATTATTTATAAGTAAATCTTGTCATATTCAATAAGATTTGAGTCAGATATTAACGATATACTGGTAACGTTATTCAAAAGAATTACTCTCGAAACAAGCCTAAATTATTAAAGCACAGGCAGTCTGTCGAATTAAACTTCAACAATAAAGTGGTCTCTGCATGAGTGAAAAATTATTTGCTCAATGCACATTTGTCAACTGTGACTTGATTGAAATAGAAATACAATTACTTAGTGACATGAGATATGAGGTTCCGTAGTAGCTTTATTTATCTGCTAGATTTTTTGTCAATGATCATGTTGCATAAAATACATATTTGTACTAGCTTTTTTAGGCAAATCGATTTTGAATACTTCAACGTATTTTCATTATGTCGCATGTTCGTTGATATGACTTCCATAATGCTTAATATCAAAATATTTGCTTTCTGTTTTCCACACATAGTTCGTGCAGTGCGAGAGCTATATTCAAAAAAACGTGAGCATCGATATTCAATATTTTCTTTACTACTTAAGTGTATAATACGATTTCATCTTTCCACTTAATATTTGCTATGTTTAGCTAGGTGTAATGATATATATATATATATATATATATATGGTAGAAACATTGCCATATCGATTAGAGAAATACGAACAAGTAAAAAAGGTAATTACTTCATTTGTCTTTCGTGCAGACTGGATTCGATAACTCGAGAGTTCATGGTATCGAATCAAAGGAATACAAAAATAATGACCATCAAGTTAATCAGCAGGATGGTTGTTGGACTTATTGTCGTTTGGCTTCTTGCTGCAATACTCACCATTCTTGTCATACGACTGCCGACAAATAGTAACAGTCCATCCCAATCACAGGTATGCAACAAACTGTACAGCATCTCTTTACCGTTTCTCTTTATATGAAAGATTTTTACATATCTTCTTAACTAATGTATGCATAATGATTGATGGATTATTTATAGAATGCTGTTGCCATGCAAATTCAATCAAATGAACACATAGCTCAACTTCAACGTGATCATGAACAACGTCTTCTGAAACAACAACAATCGATGCAATCGAATTTCACATTAGAATTAACAAAAAGAGCAGAGAACTTTAATGAAAAACAACGAGAAGAAGATCGTGATTGGAATCAATTCAATACTGAATTGAATCGAAATCTCACTGCAACACATCATAAAAAAGAGTTCGAATTTCGTGAGACAGTGGAACTCGCTGCCCAACGAGATATGGCTCAAGAAAGACAACAACATGAATGGAAATTGGAACAATATCGTTCGCAACAAATCAACGAACATCACCGGCAAGAACAATTTCGTCAGGATGAACATGATCTTGATAAATTTCTCGATGCATACAATTTAACTAGTGTATCTATACCACTGCTTCAACGAAAAGTGTTGAGTTTACTTCGTCGATTAGATATTCCACACAAAACTCTTCTCATTCAAATTCTCAACGATGCAAATCTTCTTCGAGATAACAATGCTGATCTTCCAGGACGACATATTAGTTTAGTACGAGCCAACTTGAATGGAATTCAACTGGGAAGCAAAGATGAAAGTCAGTTAAGGAAGATAAATCGTAGAGTTCGGTGTAATCTCTTCTACAAAGACATCAGTATAAGAAATAGTGATTTCAACGAACGGGTGATAGACATTGTGAAATGCTCGACATCTTTCTCGATTTGTTTTTCTTAGAACAGTATATTCATACTATAGAATGTGTGAAAAAGATTTTCCGAAATTTTGTAATAATCAATATCATAGAACCATCGTATATATACAAGGATTCCCTTCAGAATGTGTAGCAATGTTCTTTGGAAAAAATACTTTGCATTCTATTTCATCTAAATAATTATTTTCTATTTCTATTCTAGTTTTTTGTCCCAGTCAGTATTTTGATCAACTTGATCTTAACTATGCCACACTAATTGGTGCGTCTTTTGATTGTCTGTCACTTCGTAATACATCTTTCAGATCGGTCAATCTGACTTATGCTTCCCTCACTCGTTCCGATCTACGTGATAGCAGATTCGCAGGCGCTAAACTTCACAATGCCAGTTTTCAAGAAGCCCAATTGGACAGAGGCATCTTCAACCTTGGCTCACTTCTTGGTGCCAATTTTCGACAAACTTCACTTACTAATGCGAGCCTATCCCTCGCTGACGCTATTGAGACTGACTTTAGTGAAGCCAACCTCGATGCCGCTGTCTTCTTCGATAGCCAATTGAATAGAGCCAATTTCGAGCGTGCCAATCTTCGTAAAGCGAACTTGGAAAGTGCAACATTGGTACATGCTAACTTTTATCAAGCTAAAGGTGCTGAGAATAGCTTTCGGTTCACCAATATAACGGATGCTATCTTTCGACAGGCAAACGTTATTCAGTCCGATTTTTACGGAGCCGAAGGCAATCGAACTGATTTCTCAAAGGCCATTCTTGATAACAGTGAATTTGTCAATTTCAAAGTAGAAGAAGCTATTTTCGAAGATGCCAGTATGTCTAGAGTCAGTATGCAAATGGCTCAGTTAGTTAGGAGTAACTTTCGTGGTGCTTTACTCGACCAATCGACGCTGTCTTTTGCAACATTCAACGAGAGCAATTTCTCTAATGCAAGTCTAGATGATAGCATCCTTGCTGCTGTTCATGTTTATAACAGTACCTTTGAAAATGCTAGCATGAACAGAGTCCAACTAGCCTCTGGCAAACTCATCAATTGCAACTTTCGTCGCGCCTCATTTATCGAAGCTAGTTTCGCTATGGCTGACTTGACCGAATCCGACTTTTCTGAAAGTAATCTCAATGAATCAATATTTCTCTTAGAAAGTCAACTCAATCAAGTCTTCTCCATATCTAAGGCCGTTTTACCGGATGGATCGATCGGCAAGAATAAAAATCTCATTCGAAACGGCAATCCAACATGTGATGAATCAATGACAATGAATATTTCCCAATGGACAGTACCTGTTCAAGGATCAATTATTATTGTGCCGCAAGTTCATGATGGTAATTGTGTCTTTGAAGCGACAACATCGAATATCACTCACCTGATTCAATCAGTCGATGTCAGTCATTATGTGAAACGAATGATGAATGCCGATTTGACATATGTCTTGCTCGAAGCTGATATCATTACGAATAATATCAATATTAATCTTCGTTTCTTCAATTCAACCAACAATCTCATTCGCGAAGGTATTCATGACCTTGTAGTTTCATTTTGAACTCTATTCCTAGTCTAAGAATTCTCTTCACAATAGATTTATTCAAATTCTGCAATGTTAAAAAGTTCATGTGATAAATCCATCTGTCAGTCTGAAATTTTCTATCATTTTCTTGTGCAATACAAAAAGCTGATTGTTCTATGATAGTCAATCATTTAAACTAACATGTTCATATAATTGAATAAGTGCTACATTTATACTATCACCTATATTTTTTCATTCAAAATTTTAGTTCGGAGAACTATTTGAAGTAAAAATTCACTTTGCCTGAGTGATCTATATGATTATGAGAGCACATAGTTCTGTTTTTTTTCTAGTGGCTGATCTATTCAACGTCACGATAAATTCGTCGATACCTAATAATTATAATGCTCGACATCAAATCATAGACCAGACAACTGTTCGTGTTGAAATTGACATTATCTTTTCTCAAGTTAAGGCCGCTATCAACAATATTCATCTATCAGTAGAGGTCTAACTTAACTTCTATCATATAAAATGCAAATCTTTTCGAATAAAAACTAAAACCAATACTATATTCTAATAAAAAAAGAGAGAATTAGTATGGTTGTTATTCTCCTCGTCACCCATACTCTGTATTTTTTGCTACTTTCATAAGCATCGCTTGACAGCGCATGTATTCGTTGATATTGAGAGTTCAGTATGTTCTATCGATTCTAAACGATCATCATTCAGTTCGTTTTTACTGATTTCTCATACTTTTTTGTTGATATTTTCTGGGCCGCACATTAACACAATAGTATTGCATGTTGCTATTGAATCAAATTCTTCGTTGGCGTTTGATATTTCTTCTATGTCTTTCATATTTGGGTGTGATTTTAGATGTGGGTGTGTGGGTGTGCTGTGGGGTGTGGATGAGTTACAAAAAATACACACCCACACCCTCTATGAATGCGAAGCTGTCGAAGAAAAAAACAGTAAAATGCATAGATTTTAATTTATTCTAATTATTAAAGATACCAATTGCATGAAGATGTTTATTATTTCAGCTTCATTGACGCTTGTCAAAAACTATAAAAAGAAATTAATTAAGCTAAAATGGTTCTTATAGTTATAACCACGGTTGATAGCTATAGCCCTAGTTATAAGTATTTTATGTTTCTGCTGTTTCTCTCAACTATCAACTTTTTAGGAAATAGTTTTAACTCAAACAGTGAATAAGAAAAACTAATACTTTATGAAATACATGATTCATTCTTATCCTCTATTTTATTTTAAAGCAATGACTAAAAAATGACAAGAAAGAGAAAAGAAACTCGCAAACAATAATGTATTTGTGCATACAGATGTAGGATATTTCGATATATTCCAAGAGAGGAAAACAACCGAAAGAAAAGGAAAGAATTTCTGCTACTACAATAGAAAATGAAGTTAAACAAATAATCGAATCAAATCTTTATGTTCATTAAACATAACGCATGGTCTTTTTCTTACCATATACTTTATTCTAAGAATGTGTGCTTAAGAATACATTAAATCTTTTATCGTTTTTACATGCCTCGTCAGCGAAATCGGCGCTCTGCCAAAAAATATTATTGTAAGTCGAATCAACCAGTAAATAAGTAAATACAATCTATTTTAAAATAATATTTATTGTTATGTGTTTTACTTAGGCATCATCACGAAGAACACCTCCCCAAAATATTCATCCTAGAGCAAAAGTAAATAAAATATATGCAATTTCTCTATAAATAATTTCCTTTTGTTAAGATGAATAGATCTATTTGGTTTACTTTACGTTATTGGGTTAAATTTATTTGGTCATTTGTATGTCGTTTTGTAACAACTATATGGGTATTGTGCCGATATTGATGGCACGCTTCGATGATTCTCCTTCCTTCTGTTTCTGTTATCTTTCTATTGTTATAATATCTCTCTCTCTCTCTCTCCTGTCTCTCTTCTATCTCTCTCCTATATATACGTGTGCTATTTATGAAGTTGTTACACTCTGGAGATGTCAGATGACACAATACACCATCATGCCGACGGGCATAGGCGGCACTCTCTGGTTTTGTCGTTACACTCTGAATACTTGAAGTAGCCTATAATAAACATCTTTGCCGAGAGTGACACAAGCTACTCAAATTCAGTTGATCGTTACAGTTATATGTATGTGATGCTGCTGACTTTAGTTGGGCTTATACATTAGATGCGTATGACAGTGTTTGGTTTGCTCTCTATGATTTCTATCTAAGTATTTACGAAGAACTCAGAGATGACTGGGAATTTTGGAAATTATATGCATTTATGGCTGACATACCTTGGTCAGTAGCATATTTCTTTTGGAACTATAGTAAGTAAATTTATAAAAACCATCATTATTATTTTTCTTCGTTTTTAGATCGACCAGATTCACCAGAGTTCATCTTCTAATGTAAAGATTATTTTTAAACAAATTTATTATTGAACGGAAAGAAAAAATAGAAACAGAATTTTCGAAAGTTATTTGTTGATCTGTTGAATTTATTTGAATTTAATAAAAAAATAGATTGATATTCATAAGATAATATTACTTTTTTTGCTAATGTAGTTGATTTATTTTTATTAGAAGATCCAAAAAGAAAATCATTATATGAAACGTAATAACCAAGATGATTGTTAAATTTATCTAATTGAGTTTCTCATGGCTTTTGTCGACAAAAACAAATTTTACATTTATTTATCATTGAATTTTTATTTTTCTGATTGAATTTGTTGATAAAGATCAATAAGAAAATATCAGAATAAGTAATATCATAAACAGCATCTAATTTATCTTTTAATGCTTTAATAACAGCTACTGTTGCATCTGATCGACAATAAAGTACATAAACAAACGGCGATACACTTAAATTACCAATTAGATTTAAAATATGAAGAAAAAGATCAACTATCCCGTTGTTTGAACCTTTTGTTGTGCAAATAGCCTTGATTGTTATATGATATCTTGATTAATAATTGGATTATGTCGAGTACCTTCAGGGAATATGACAAGCCAAACAGGTAAACCATTATATATAATTTGATGCATTCCGTTGTCAAATCGATCTAGATGTCTTCTATCAATTCGACGAACATATATGTCACAGCCAAAATTAAATTTAGGAGAAATTCGTTTTTTAATTAGGCGCAGAATTTGAGAGAATTGTGCATTTGATTTATATTTATAAATGATTTTTAATACTCATTCTGAATCGCCGAAAAAATGTTAATTTTGGCACAATCATTTGCTTTTAATAACATATCCACAATTTTTATGCTGATTTGATAGTTATCGTGAATCATCTGCATTAAATTTAAAAATTTAAATAAAAAATTTCCTTTTTCGTTTTTTGTCATTTGCTTTTTGGTCGGGTATATACAGAAAAATGCTACGTAATTCATGAGTAATCAACTATGATGAAAATTTTACACCAAGTTAAAAGGAAAAGTTTAATAAAATAAAATAAAATAAATTTTTCTGGTCGATCATATACAGAAAAATGGTTAATGAGTGATTTCTAATCAACTAGAATAAAACTCTGCATTAAATTAAAAGAAAAACTCAAGTAAAATTAAATAAAATAGTTTTTTTTTCTTTCTTTGTTTTTTGGTCGGGCATATACAGAGAAATGCTTATTTTATTTAGAAATTATTTTTAATTATCATGTGCATTGAGAAACGTCGACAAAGTTGAAATGATATATAATCATTTCATTAAATGATATATGAGTAATTTTTGTTTTGATTTCATAAATTTGAAAAAAATTTACATTAATTGAAAAAGGAACAATCTTGTAAAATAAAAAAAAATGTTTTTCTTTTCAATACTATTTTTAGTAGGACATAAGATGAACCTTGTTCTCACACTAGAATCACTGTCGCATTCAACATTTTACATATAGTGGCTACTAACTGATATTGTATACCGTAAAATTTTTACTGATTATCTCTTTTTGCTTTGTACTAGCAGTAAGATCTAACTTATGATTTGCAAGGTTTTTTAATAATAAAAAAGAAAAATTAAATTGATTCTTCTAAATTTACTAAAGTTAGGGCAACAATAATCTCTTTGAAAATATATAATATAGCTCTAGAACAGGTTTATAAATTTATTGTCACTTCATCGTTTCAGTAATTGAACCTATCGGTGCCTACTATGTCGTTTTTTGTAAACAATCATGCATGCTCCATGGCATTTTAAAAAATTATGAAACTGTATCATTACTACCAAGAATAAAAGATAATCTTAAAAGAACAAATTTTTTTTGCACAATCTGACTTTGAAAAGCTTGATACTACAGAAAGAATTACATCTTCGATTGAAGTTAGTCTTTTTTCCGCACTATAGCAAACTCTACATCTTCCAAAATAAGATATATTTTTTGCAAAGGAAAAGCTAGCGAACTCTACATCTTCCTGAAGAAGGTATAGTTTTCATTACGCAAAGTAACCGAACGGTACATCGCCTTCAAAGATATATGATTGAAATTAGCGATGCCCACTCATCTATTAAAAGTTGTCTTTTTAAATTTTAATTCACTTCGCGTGCTAGAAACTTTATTTATCATAGACACCATAAATTTTTCATAAGATGCTAAATTAAATTAAAATTTTTAAAAGTATGGCTTAATTTTGCCTAAAACTCAATTCTGCCTGGCACATATCTATTCAATAAAAGAATTTTCATTGGATAAAACAACAAATTAATGAAGTATCTATATTTATCACCAATTGTGATCCGGAATTAAACTTGAAATTTTCACCATCCACGTTGAAGATTGATGAGAAATTGACTGACGAAGACCTAGTGATCTATACTAATTAATACTAGAAACCATATTGGGAGTGAAGGAAGAGCATTCTTGGGTTAGGTAGTTGATTTTCATTCATACGTATCTGATCAAATGCAGACCTATTTTTTCAAATAGATTTTTGCTTACAAAAATTTTTATTTTTCCATGATAGAAAATATAAGTATTGGCCAAGGAAAAATGAACTCCATGCACTGATGAATCTGAAAAGTGATGTTCCTAGATCCAGTTTTATGCTGGTTCTGAATTTGCTATTAGTTTTTCATTTGATCAATGTTAAATAAAACCTACTGTCAAAATACGAGCCCGTTTTTGCTAAAATGCATCCATTTTTGAATTTTAGCATTTTTCAGTCCAAACCTAGCTCCCATAGAAAACCATTGTACTGGCTTGATAGAGGAGCTTCCGCTCTATCGAATGGCAAGAGCCAATTTCTAACAGAATTCGATTTAAGAGTTTTATTTAAGGAACTTTTGTACCTTGAAAACTAAAGTTTTAGGGGTCCTGTGTAATAACTATAATAAATATTAATACAATCTTTTTATTTTTTTAAATTAATTTTTTTTATGTTTAAGAAGAAAAAGGAGGAGAAGCTTTTTAGCGCAGCCCCTTTGAGGCTAAAATCTGGAACTCACATATATCCCTTCGGCTTACTAAAATAATTCAAAATACTGTATCTGAAAAATCTACCCTGGGTATTTCCACCAGCTTCCTCCCATCGTTACATGAAGGTCATTGGATCTTTCTTGAAGTAATTTCATCTTGTAGAGATTTTTACGCTGATCAATTTTTGTTATTGTGTTTTCAACGATTAGTTGAGAAATAAGAAAGATATCGAAGAAACGTTGAAAATAAGGTTTTTTCACAAAAAATGCCGTCTATTTCGGTTTTACGACGATTTGTCAATGAAGCACTCAATCGATTGAGCTAATTTTTTGCAATCGTCGAGATTGATCGAAGAGCTTCGAAAAATGTTATTTTCGAAGTGGTTTGATAATTATACTAACGGGTGCGGCAGGATAAATGGCGATCTCAGTATTTCGCCGATATCTCCCTTAATCTTAGTCCGAGTTGGCTCCCGTTTTTTTCAAAAGAATCGCCTTTCAAAGTTCTACAAAACAATACTATTTTTATTAACGCAAATAACTTGCATCATTTTGGTAAAGACGATACAATCGATTGGTCCAACACGCACAACTTTCAAAAACAACAGATTCAGAAATTTTTTTAACCGACAATTTTAATTCCTTAATGAGTGTTGTTTTTGAGTAGACTTTGTTCCAATGGATGTTGTTGACCAGCTGATCCCATATTGAGTAGTCCAGTGGGTTTAAATCTGGACTATTTGGTGGCGATCTGTCTTTCTCAATAAATGTTGGAAAATTGTCTCGACACCATTTTTGTGATAAATGATGCGAGTGAGGCTTGGCGCCATCTTGTTGAAAGACCCAGTCGCTGCCGAAAAATTGATTCCCATATTTTAAAGCAACAGGAAGCACTTTNCTAAAATTAAAAATTCGTGTTGAACTTAAAAACTTATCGAAAAATATCTATTGATTGTTCGTTGAAAATTATTGGCATCTGAATGTGCTACATTTTTAACAATTGCTTAAGATTTTTCTGATGAATGGGGGCGTTACTTTATATTCACTTTACTTTTTAAAGAAAAATAAAACCTTTATATTTATAATATAAAGAAAAATGAAATCGTTATTCTTTAAATAATAAGGATCAATAAAATATTTGTTCTTTAAAAAATAGAGATCAATAAAATATTTATATTTATAAAGTAAAGATAATGATAATCTTTATCTTTATAAAATAAAGAAAAAGAAAAAGTAGCTTTATCTTTATTTAATAACGATAAAATAAAGAATAAAGAAAAATATTTTTCTTTAAAAACCCAAAATTTGGTCTTCTTCCGATAGCTCAAAGAAAATTAAGAAGTTCAAGGCTAAAAAAATTTTGAACAGTAGATTTTTTTCCATAAATGATTTATGCCTCACCATCATTTGTTAGTATTATTTCATACTGCAATGTCAGTGATGATAAGCAAGAACTGCAATCAATGTTTTCTGTTGTTATACAAATTATTCATCTATTTAACAGTGCCCGCAGAAAATCTTTCTTTTTTCTTTCTTTTTACCAATAAAGATTATCTTTATCTTTATCTTTATTTTATAAATATAAAGATTTTATTTATCTTTATTTTGTAAAGAATAAAGATTTTATTTATCTTTATTTTGTAAAGAATAAAGATTTCATAAATTCTTTATTTTGCAAAGAATAAACATTTCATAAATTCTTTATTCTTTATTTTATAAATATAAAGATTTCATTTATTTTTATTCTTTAATACAAAGATCAATAAAGATAAAGTAACAACCCTACTGGTAAAAGAAAAAAAAAGCTTTTAATCAAAAAAAATCTACATAAACCATCACAGGTCAGTACGGTTACTTCTCATTTCCGAACATAAAAAAATAGATATAACTAAATTTACTAATATAATTTCTTTTAATTTTAAAGTTTATTATTTCGATTTTTTTCAAAACCATTGAAATTTAAAATTAAGTTCGAAAGAAAAATTTCGTTTGATTTAAACTTGACTAGTATTAATTTATTTCAAAAAACGATTTTAAAAAGTTATTTTGACTTAACTACGTTTATTGCAATTTCTAGAGGACGCAAAATTTTTATGATAAAAGGTTTTCTTAACTTTAAAAAGCTTGTTAGCGCAGCCCCTGTGGGACTAAAATGTGGAACTCACCTGTATCTCTTAGGCTTACTAAAATAATTCAAAATACTGTATCTGAAAAATCTATCCTGATTTCCAAAACCTATAGTTAGGTCATTGCCTGTTTGCTCATGTCTGCAATGGAATATTAATTGTTAGCTGGTATATTTAACAATGGTGGAGACTAGTTGCCATGGTCTGCAATGGTACCCTAAGCTAGTTACTATGGTCTGTAATGAGCAAGCATTGCTTTTTTCGTGTCCTCTGTAATTAAAAAAGGAAGAAATATCAGCCTAATTAGTTAAGCATCTACTTAGCATAATTCTAAGCTTATTAAAGTCTGTAATGGGGCGGGAGGGGAGGGGGTGGGGAGCTGCAAAAGTCTCGCTTTAAAACTTACACTCACCATGTTCTTCGAAAATACATGTGAGCTCCACAATAATTGTTGCTATTTGTAGAGGACGTTAGTTTTGTGGAACTCACATTTATTTTCGAAGAAAAAGCTGAGTGTAAGCTAACAGCGAGATTTTTGCGGCTCCCCATCCCCTTTCCCCATTACAGACATTAATGAGTTTAAAATCGTGCTAATTAGGAGCTTGACTAATTAGACTACCACCTCTTCTTTTTCAATTACAGACTACACGCAAAAACCAATGTTTGCCCATTACAGACCATAGAAACCTGTCTCTGCCCTTGCTAAATATACGAGCTAACAATAAATACTCAATTGCAGACATAAGTGCAAACAGGGAATGATCTAATTATAGGTTTTGGAAATCAGGGTAGATTTTTCAGATGAATTATTTTGAACTATTTTAGTAAGTCGAAAGGATACATGTGAGTTCCACATTTTAGTCCCAAAGGGGCCGCGCTAACACGTTTTTTTATAATAAAAAGTTTCTGAAGTTCAAATGATTTCAGCTATTTCTAGAGGACGTTAGTTTTTTTATGACAAAAAGTATTGGAGTTTCAATACCCAGGTCGACTAATTCGATGAGAGATTCAATCGGATTCGACCGAAGAATTGTAAAAGATATCAAAATTGTATTTAGTGCGAAACAGCTTTTTAGAAGATGAGTATATCAGACGTTTTTGGCGCATCGGATCCCAGGCAAGGATGCGGTAGGATAGTATGGGATTCCGATTCTAAGGATCCAAGTCTTGGCCCGCAACCCAGAATCCCACGGAATTTGTTGGTCGTTCTCGGTTTTCATGTAAAATCTGATGCAACCCATTTTCAGATCCGATTGGATCCGATTGTAGGAATAAACGACCTTGGTAATTGCTGTTATTTCTGGAGAACGTTAGTTTTTTTACGATAAAAAGTTTCTGGAGTTTAAATATTTGCTGCTACTTAGGGTATACCAATGTTCTGACCAGGGTACTTCTTCCTCTTCTCTATTCACATTGGGACGAAAAATTCTGATCAGCTTTAAGTATATTCTAATAGAGCTTCAAATTCTCTATCATCTTGTATCTTTTAGTCTTATTTTGTATTTGTCCTCAAGAAAAATTGGAGTATCATGCAAACATGCTTGTCAATTGTGAATGTCTGTATTGTACTCAAATTAGTTTTGCAATAGATGAATACCAGACAGTAGACAGCAATATAATAAAATAGAGAATTTCAGACGCTATCAGAATATACTTAAGGATGATCAGAAATTTTGAGCCCAATGTGAATAGAAAAGAGGAAAAAGTACCCTGGTCAGAATGTTGGTATGCCCTAAGTATTTCTAGGGGACGTTAGATTTTGATAATGGAAAGCTTTGCAGTTCTAAAAACTTGCTGCAGTTTGTAGAAGACGGAATTTTTTGGGACTGAAGAGAGAGTTCTTGTAAAGAAAATTAGTGCATTTTTTTAGTGTCATGTTTTTTTAAATATAGAGTTCATTGCTTTAAAAGATTCGATTTAATGCGTAGAACATATAGCGTGTTAATGACGAATATTGATTATCAACACATAGTTCAGTTGATTTTTAGAAATATGTGGATATGAAGATGAATAATAATCTAATGCTCTCATGAACAATGAATATAACTCCCCGGCCAAAACTAGTGTCACATGATATTTTCAATATATCATCAATATCAATTAACATTTTGACAAAAGTAATTATATATTCTGATAGCCTGTGGAATTCTCTACAGCTCTATACATATGCGCTTCAAGCTGAACTTGCTCACTAAAAATAAATTAAAGTACAATGAAGGCACCCTCGTCATCAGATTCCCCAAAAATGTAATTTTTAATCTTTTCTCATTCGCTTTTTTCCAATTTATCGCTTCGTTCTCTTTCTATTCTCTCGAAAATATAATCTAGTAGTATACATTCGTCATCTCATTAACACGTGGTTGAATCTCATAGCCGTTTATTTTCTGTTCTGTCGTTCATTTTCTATTCTGTCACGAAGAGTATCACTTAAGTACAATGAGTGGACATTTATCCATTGGTGACCGTTGGCATATTATTTCATTAAATTTCGCCTGTCAGTCCTGATCTAAACGCTGTTGAGAGTGTCTGGTCTTGAGTGAATCAGTAAGTGCAAAGAAATTGCCCAAACTCTCAACAGCGTTTAGAGTAGAGGTGGGCCATTTATTTTAACGGAACTTAATTAATGACATTAATTAATGACTTCCATTAGCCATTAATCTTAATGGTTAATGTTTTCTAAGAAAAACTTAATTCATTAATATTAATGATTAATGAAAAACATTAACATTAATTTTAAAATTAATGTTTTCATTAATCATTAATATTAATGTCAATGTTCTTGAATGATATTAACGGTTAACGGAAACATTCACCATTAGTATGAATAGTAATGTTTTCGTTAATATTAGGGATTATATTTTCATTAATCATTAATATTAATGTTAATGTTTTCATGAAAACATTAATTTTTCCATATTACTGAATTAGGCTTTTCTAAGGAAACATTATCTACAATTATTAATCAATTAACTGATCTTAATAGCTAATGTTTTCTCCGAAAATGTTAGTTACTTAATATGGAAAGTTATAATGCTTTCATGAAAACATTAACCATTAATATTAAGTCATTGATTTTAATGAAAACACTAACATTAATATTAATGATTAATGAAAGTATAATCCCTAATATTACAGCAGTTGCAGAATGCCTACCCAGCAGAATTCAGAATTCTGTAAACTTATAATATTTTTAAACAAATCAATGCTTACGGAATAGAATTCTACAGAATTCTATATTGCCACGATTAAACTATATCAATTTTCCTCCTCATATGATATTAGAATTCTATTGTAGCTTGTTTCAATTCTGCTTAGAATTCTATTGTAGCTTGTTTCAATTCTACTTAGAATTATATTGTAGCTTGTTTCAATTCTGCTTAGAATTATATTGTAGCTTGTTTCAATTCTGCTTAGAATTCTATTGTAGCTTGTTTCAATTCTGCTTAGAATTCTATTGTAGCTTGTTTCAATTCTGCTTAGAATTCTATTGTAGCTTGTTTGAGCTTAGAATTCTATAGAATTCTAGGGAAATGGAATATGTTTTGGGTAAATAAATGCGTTGGATATGTTGTTCGCTTGTCACAAATTTGGAGGATTATAGTTGTTTTCGTAAATTTTATGGATAGAGGATAGATTTTATACGAAATGAAGGCAATCTAAAACGTCTGGTTTAATTGGAAACATCGACATTTCTAATTTATTTCAAACTTACTGATGTCTCTGGTAAACGTGAAATTTATACACAACAATATTCTGCGCGCGGCAGAACTTCGAATCCCAATCAGCACAATGTTTAGTGAAGGACTGGTGAAAACTATGGAGGCGTGGCAGCCGTTGCTACGCATTGATTCATTATCATGTGCGATCGCTTTATTCAACATCGTTGCAACTACTCTTGAATTCAGTTCCGTATCGCGTTCTTCAGATGGACGACATCACATTCCATTAAATATTTACAACATGGTGATTGCACGAAGCTGTTTGTAGATGATATTTTAGTGTGCTTTGTCCGAGTATTTTTCATTTTAGCTTTCCGTAAAAGTGATATAACAAATCTCATCCGTAATGTGCTGCATTCGATATGTGTGGCTAATGATCAAAATATTAACGTATGTTTGGATGAATTTGCCAGAGCCGGACTGATGAATTGTTTGGATAAGAGTACGAAGATATTTATGACAGGTGAAGCTGATATGGCGTTTGTGGATGCTGGTTTATTTAGTAGTTTTCCTAAACCTTCAGCCGAAAATAATTGTAGATGTATGTCTTGCGTTGTTATAATGCTAAGCTTGATTATAAATAGATTGCTGTTTTAGCTTTAGTAATGATACTGTATGATCGTATTTTTTGTCCTTACGTGCGTCGATTAGCAAATAAGACAGTGGTTGTTGAAAAAAGCAAATTAAATCTTTTAGTAAATTGTTAATTTTGATTTGAGAATAATATGATTATAATTTCTTTCAAAAAATATAGGGTTTATCTACAGGCGAATTAATGGGAACAGTTGTTTCGCGTTTGAAGTCAGGTGGATCATGGGATCCTATAATTGGAAGGTTTTGTTGGTGGGTATTGGATGGTCCACCGACTATGGAAGAATTGATAGAGCCAGTTTTGGATTGCTCAATGGCATCGGTTGAGCAACTTGCTTTTGCTTGTAGTTTGATTAATAATTGTACGTTCAAATATGATGTTGATGCATTATCACGCGTAGTCGCCTGGGGAAACTCTATGAAACAAAAAAGTATGTCATGATTTTGATCATAGATTTAGAAATTATATTGTATCGAATTATTATTTTTGCAGGCTATGACTATCGTCAAGATGTATTATTATCATCTTTATTAGGAAAGTCAGTACAGCATGTCCATCGATTTGCTGCATTCATACAAACAATAGAATATGGATTTGATTTGTGTGTGGAATATGCTGATCGTTTTGAACGATTTCCCTCATCAGGGAAAATTGATCATGATTTTGCTGAACGTATTGAAGAAATATTTCAAGAATCCTTTCATGAACAAACTAGAGTTGATAAACAGCTTCGTCAATTTTTTATCAGTGATCAAGTTGTTGTTCGAGCAATTGATCTAGTATCTGGCTTACTGCAGCAAATGAAAATATTGTTGGACGACACAAATGCGCCAATATGGGCAGCTAGTCAAGGAAGACCGTTAATTGTATTACCGATCAATGACGACCGAACTTTCGATACTGAAAAACATGAAAAAAAGAAAAAGAAAGATCTTAGTATGTATGTTAATCACTTAAATATATTATCACTGTTTTATTTATAGCCCATTATGTATCTACTGAAAAGCTTCAGCGTATTGCTATGGAAATTCTATTATTTCCATCTTTATGTTTTACAGTAACTCAGTTACACATGAATTCATTATTGCACAATGCAGCTTTATCAGAGATTCGTTGTGTCTTGGAGCATCTCATGAAATGTGACTTACTTGAATGTTTACATAAAGGCGTTAAAACTAGCCGACGGTTTACAAGTGTATATATAAAACGACTACCAAGTTGTGATCACGATGGGCAAGTGAATGCTGATTATAGATCAATATTCGATGAAAAATTAAAAGAGTTTAAATATTCTCATTCGACATTTACACTTGACGAGTATTTAAAAAAAAATAGCATTATTAATGTTCATGCAACTGGCACTGTTACGGATGAATTGATCAAATTCTTTTCTTTATCGGAATATATGATGGTTGAATTGAGCCCGTTATATAACTTAAAAGAAACAAGTACCTTTATGAATATACTGCATATCACATTTTTATAATTTTTTTAAATAGAAAACCTAAAATCAACTAGTGCAATCCAATCTCATGTGAACATTCAAAGTAATCTAGTAGATAATGATGTAGTATTATATAATGACAATTATCAACGTATGCTTTGTTCCAGAGAAAGAGACTGATTTCTGTTATAGCTATTTTATTTATATTTTGTATCGTTAGGTAACCATCATACTACAACTGATTGTTCTACTCTAATGACGCTTCATGATGACAATGATGTCTCATGTATTTTCGACGAAGATATCGAACAACTTGAAATGAATGTGAAAGAAAACTGTTCTCTTCTTGTATCTCATGCAGAAAATGGTATTTAAGGTTTCGCTGATTGTACCTTTATAACATAATTTCTTTAAGATATTGTTACTTTCGATGTTGTCCAAAATGTTGATATAATTGAAGATACTGCTATAAATCAAAATATCTATGTGAATATAATGCATAACGATCATAACGATAATTTAGAAAACAGTACAGTAGTTGATAATACTATATGTGTAGATAACACTAGTGTTATTTACCCACAAGTGATCGATGATCTTATGGACAATGAATCTAATATTAAAAAAAAGAAAAGAAAACATATCGGTCAACAAGATCCAACAAAAAAGTTAAATATTGATACTGATATGACATTCTCATTCCCACCAGCATGGCGTTTACGGTCAAAAACGCGTTCGAACCATCATGATGAACATAGTATTACGTCTATTAAGAACACAATTAATCGTGAGAAGAAAAAGAACTGAACTTTTTCGAGCTTTTTTTTATTTCATTGTAGTGTTGTATGATTAGTTTGTAACCGTCTATGAGTATAGATGTTTGTAAACTTTAAGTAGTGATTATATATATTTTTTCATTAGCTTTTGTTATTTCAGATATATTTATGATCGATATATATATATATATATATTAATGTTTGTGTTTGTATGAAATGACAACTAATATTTGATCGTTCATCTATGTTCCATACAAATTCTTAGTATACATACTGTTTAATTTTTTTTTCTACATTTTATTGATTGAGAGTTGTTTTATTATTATTTTGATCTTTTGTATTTTTTGATACAAAACAGTTTAGATAGATTGTATTATCACATTGGAAATGGCAATGTTGACTAGGGGAAGTATTGGTGTATGATTTATCTTTTTTAAGCTTTGGGGAATTAAAAGTCATATTTGCGTTTAGAAAATATTACATGGTGAAGAATTGATTGCGCCCATGGTCCTGTTAGTAGAGGTATTCAATTATTTAACATTTTGTTCTGCATAGAAAACTATAATATATAGGAAGCTAACATATTATATGTCAACAGTGATGATTACTCTGAAAGTAACATTATAAACATTCGTTTGCGTTTATCTGATTCAATTGATTCTTTCTCCGGTAAATGTTTATTTTGTATTGTACTCTTTTTAATTTTTTTATTAGGATTCGTATATAAAACTAAACTAGTAAACGAGTTGAAACCAGGAGCATTCGTATCTATTAACTCTTGCAATGTAGAATCGTTGGGCCAAAATAAGTATGTTTCCTTGATCATTTCGCAGATTATTGCAATAACTGTGATCTTTTAATAGAATCTTATGCAAAATTCTCCATATGAATATTGTTCACGATAGAGAGACAGAAACCATCACATTGCCGAATCGGATACAAAATTCTTCAAGTGAACATGATCTGAATTCCAACCATACACAAAGCATTTTATCATTAATTTCTTTGATTGATGTGGATCTTAGTAGTGGTAAAAAGTAAGTTTGTGATCTTTTGACGCTTGCTGTATTTTAAGAAGTATAATTGCTTTTTTAAAAAACACTATTTTTAATCTTGCTGCTATAGTAATATTATACGTGCAAGGATTATATCCAAGAGTGCCGTGAGAACTTATGATTTTAGCCAGCATAAGCTATTTTATTTTGAAATCATGGATGATTCCGCAACATTACGCACGAAGGCATTTAATCGACAATGCGATCGTATATTTCCCCATGTATGCATTGGAGAGGTTTGCCATTTTTTGTGTAAATACATTGTTTGATTTTCATTTAATATAAATATAGATGATTGAATTGTCAAAGTTCTACGTAGTTGTTGCAAACAAAAAGTACAACCAGCTCAAAAGTGATTATGAAATAGTGGTTCAGGAACATACCGAATTTAATGTTATGCGTGATATTGAACCAATACCGATTCAACCTACTTTTCAACTGCATTCATTAGGCGACATGGAATCGCTAAAAGTCGGTGATGTTTATGGTTAGCGCATCACATTTATATTGAGTTTTCCTTCTTAAAATCAGTGAAATGATTGTTTAGATGTAATTGGTATAATTAAAAGTGTTAGTCCTTCAACAATAGTGTACGAGAGAGTTACTCATAGACCATTGTCGATCGTTCGATTACTTTTGTTCGATTCGACAGGAAACATTGAAGTCAATTTATGGAATGAAATGGTATGAATAGTTATTTACCATTTTGTTACTGATAGTTTTACTTTTTCAGTTTACTAATTCATAATTAATTCGTACTCTTTGCTATACAGGCTTCCTGCTTTTCTGGACAAAAAAATGATACACTTGCCGTTAAAAGCTTTCGGTTATCTGTCTATCACAATAGGTTTTATCGAATTCAATTGCTATTTTTTATGTTTTATTTTAGACAAGTATATTTTGAACAGCATAATGAATAGTGGCATATTTTTAAATCCGATGTGTGAAGAAGCAAGTAAACTTCGTTCACTAATTATTGGTTGAACATTTGAAAACAATGCAACTAAAAGTATGTAAATGCTTCGATTTCATGTGAAGCATCCCTATGTTAATTACTTTTAGGTGTTACAAAGCAGAATAATAGCATAAAACATTACAAGACTATTGATTTGAAAGTTTTTTAAAGAATAAATTCATAAAGTTATCTTTAGTTATATTGCAGAAACATGGGATTTCTTTTCAATATATTGATAGCTTCATGTTTTTCAGATTCTCATATGTAATGCTTTTCATAAAATGGGACAAAAGATGTCTTTTAATGGAGATCTAATACATTCTATGAAAAGAATGCGTTTAACAAATTCAAGTGCCGTGTGTACTAATCATGACGATCCTCTTATATTTAGAATTTTGGATATTACAACTCCAACATCACCCACTCGAAAACATTATGCTGATGAGTATAATGTTTTCAGAAATGCTTTGAATGCTCCACTAGAAGAAGAATTTATAACAGACAATATTGATGAAAATGTCATTGAAGAGAGAATGGATTATATTCAACCACTTCATAGTTCGAGGGATTATGCTGCTGATACACCAGTTCTTGATGGCAAGTTATTTTTTTTTGCTTCTAGTATTCTTCTGAACAATCTTTTTGTTAGGTGCATTGGCACACATATCGGATGCGTTCAATGAAAAACCTACCGCTTTTGACGACAGTTATTCAAATGAAGAACTAATATCATTCATGCTAAAACAGGAAGAAAAAGCTCAATCGTTGGATGTTATAAACTTTGGTTTAAGAAATGATATTCGTGAGGAAAATGTTTTTGAGGTTAATCATATGTTAAGATTAAAGCCTGTTCAATTTTTAGAACCTTCTGATGAAGAGATTCTTCGGTTTTTAACAAGTTTCTAGTTTTTCAGATCTTAAAAAATATTTTGATTAATCAAATTCAATTTGGATCATTCCATTTGATGGATTCACGCACGCTGTTGGACGAAATATCAATCATATGTGATCAGTTAAAGTTATTTACTATAGCTGAATTGTTTTATGTTTTACAGCTGGATGCAAAACTGTCAATGTTTGATGTGAATCGGATTAAAAAAATAACCGATGGTATCAAATACCGATATGCCGGTGATCACACTTACGAACAAATCATTACTGTTATTAAACTATTGAGTGTACCTTTTTCGCAAAGCTTGGTTATGCAGAATGAAATGTCATTGCCATTTATTGCATATCGTCAATCACTCAATCCTGTTATTTTACCTTTTTCATGTGTATGTTATGTTTTTCAAAGATCTATGGGCAAATCTGATGCAAAACAAAGGTCAATCAAGGTGCATTGTATAAATGGGTCAACTGTTTGGGGTATGACAAAAAGCAATAGTTATTAATTGAATCAGAATTGTCTAACTATAATTCTAGGAACGATCATAGCCTTTAGATGCAACCATTTAAGTAGCAATACACATCGTGGAGTACCGTTAGTTGTTATGTACTCGAACTTTGTTCTTCATGAAGATAGGCACATGTATTCTCATGAAAGTCTTCATTGTGGACCGTATGTTTATATCGGTGGGGATGTAGCTATTGAACGAGCTATAATTAATAAATTTACTGCTGAATTTATCCATTTGACATCATCTATTCATGGTTTAGTTAACAGCTTAAATCAGGAAGCTTTTAATAATGCTCAGTCACAGTTAGGCAACGTAGACCCACATACATTAAGTAGTATCTTTTATCGTTACTTGTATATTCAAACTTACATTAGTATGGGAATTAAGTCTGTTTGTGCACCTGCCAATATGGGTGATTATGATTTATGGGCATGGAAAGAGTTTCCTCGACTTCTATCTTGTTTTACATATTTATGGATGAATCATGACCAAATTGTAGGACCATGTAATGATCAATGTTCTAAATGTATCGTTGTTGATGGACATAAAAAATGTCGTAGACGTATTTGTGGTTTCAAAGATGTCCGAATAGATACTGAAGAAATAAAGCAAATAGTCATCGGATGTTGTCGAACACCTGGTTCTAACAGCAGATACTGTGATGCACATATCGATGTAGTTTGTGAAAATAATATGGTTGAAGAGAAAAACGTCATAGCACCTAAACGATCATTAAGGGTAAAACAGCAAGCAGTAAAAGGAAGAAAAAAAGGAAGAAAAAAAAAGGAAATAGATAAATTAAATGCTATTGGATGTGGAACTACGAAACAACGGTCGGACAATTACGTTACGAAATGCAACAGATCATTTGGATTGATCGCGCTAGTATATAACTGTAAAATTATAACATGTTTCAGTGAACTATACCGCTCAGAAACTTTAAAAGAAATAATCAATTTATTTTGTGGTTGTATTAAAGGCAAGTTGAGTTATAACAAACAGCAAATTATAGTAGTGTTCTCATTTTATGTTCTAGTATCGGGACGCCTTTCACCAACTGTGGTTTATGATGATGGATGCCACTTAGTGGCATATGTACGTAATCATATTGGGCGTGATTTAACTCGAACAAGTGCTTTAGAATTATTGGCGTCTACGCCTATTAGTGTGGATCGATTACATTTTAAGAATCACGTCGGTATATATTGCCGTTTAGAAATGGATCCTAATAAAAATAGATGTGAGTTCCATGTATTGATACTCTTGTTTATACATTGCCTTTGTAAAAGTGCTAGATAATATAAATACAGAAGCGGCTGAGCAGTGCTTTGCATGGTTGCGTAATTATGGATCTATTATTTCAAGTATGAATTGGCTTCGTGCTCCAGTGTTTATGCTTATTTTATTTCACCTCAAAAACTTATCCTATGTACAACGGAAACCATCTGATATTTTCCCTGTGGTAGGTTGAAGAAAATAAATAAAAATCTTGTTGATCCTTTTTTAAGCTTGTTTATCGACTTTAGTATGATATTGTTCAAGACGTTTCAAACATTTCCCTCTGTCACTGTGCTCATGCTATTATTGAAGAGAATAATATAAACCATGAAAAGAATTCTAATATTGATTCCAATGTTGATCGAATGTTTAAGCCACTTGATCTTCCTGCTTCGAAAACAGACTGGGAGAACATAGTTCGTCAATTGAAAGACAGCTTGCCAAGTTATTGATAATATCAAAAACTGTTTGTATAACTGTTTAAGTGTTTTTGTAAGATAAGCTATATGTAGTTTTATTAAAAAGAAAAGAATGAAATTACAAAGATACGAAACAACTTGTTCATTAAATAGCTTGTTTAATTCTACAAGCCTAACTTTAGCGCGTACAAAATATTTCATTCTCAATAATGCATGATATTGCTCCATGTTTGATATAGATGCAAATGTAAACGTTTCTTCTTTTCTCTCGCTTCATGATGTAATCATGATCAACTATCTTTGATGTGTATCAATTTCTTCTCTAGACATGAATGATTCAAAAAGGAAATCTAGAGATGAACAAACAACCATCATTATATTAACATCTTTTTACAAGCATACTCCTCAACAGCTGACTACAATTAATCACAAAAAACCTTTCATTTTTAAATAAGCATTTGAGCTTTGTATTCTGCTACTACCGATAGAATTCTATTTTATATTCTGCTGGTCCTTTTAACTTCTCCATAAGAATTCATTCTGGTTATCTTTGTTTCGCATTTTATACTGATAGTTGGTTATAATTCTGCTTCTACCGATGGAATTCTATTTTACATTCTGCTGATCTTTTTAACTTCTCGATAAGAATTCATTCTAGTTACCGTTGTTTCGCATTTCTATAAATTACTGATAGTTGGTTATAATTCTGCTTCTACCGATAGAATTCTATTTTTCACTTATGGTAGTGTGTATGTTTATATTATGCTACTTTTTCGCTATGTACGAAATAACAAAATTCTGAATTCTGCTGGTTAGGCATTCTGCAGGCCCTCTAATATTAACGAAAACATTACTATTCATACTAATGGTGAATGTTTCCGTTAACCGTTCATATCATTTAAGAACATTGACATTAATATTAATGATCAATGAAAACATTAATTTTATATTAATGTTAATGCTTCTCATTAATCATTAATATTAATGAATTAAGTTTTTCTTAGAAAACATTAAGCATTAAGATTAATGGTTAATGAGAAGCATTAACATTAATATAAAATTAATGTTAATGGCCCACCCCTATTCCCAGGTACCTCTATCAAAAGAGGACCGTGCGAAAACTGTATTTTCTACTCGCGACAATCATTATCAATTTACAGTTCTTCCACAAGGAATCACCAATGGACCCGCCACATTTCAACGCTTGATCAATCATATATTAGGACCCGCAGGGTGGAAATACGTATTAGCCTATATCGATGATGTTATTATTTATTCGAAAACATTTGACGAACATTTATCACATCTTAATGAAATTTGTGGAATATTAAAAAAATGCTCGATTTCGTCTTAACCCAGAAAAATGTGAAATTGCTCGAACACAAACAGATTATCTTGGACGTCAAATTAGTAATGGCGAAATTCGTCCAAGTTCGTACAATATTAGTGGTCTATTAAATACAAAAGTACCACAAACTCCAGACGAAGCATGCAAATTCGTGAAAGCAGCTGAATATTATAGGAAATTTATGCCGAATTTCTCTCAAATCGCCGAGCCACTTCGAAAATTCGTCACAACTACAAGAACTCAACAAAAGAAAGGACAAAAACAATGATTATATTAACACAGGATGAAATTAACGCATTCGGCCAACTCAAACATCATCTGACAACTGATTTAGTATTACGATTACCAAACATTAGATTCCATTTCAAAGTTCAAACAGATGCGTCGGATGAGGAAATCGGTGCTGTTCTATTACAAATCTATCCTGATGGCGATAGACAAATTGCTTATTTATAGAAGAAATTTACTCAAGCACAACGGAAATGGTCCCCTATGGAACAAGAATGTTATGCATTTATCTGTGCATTAGACAAACGGCATAATTATTTAAGTGGAATTAAATTTACATGGGAAACTGATCATAAAGCATTAACACAATTAAACAAAAAAGCTCAAATTAATAAACGATGCGAACGCTGGAGATTAAAAATTTTAGAATATGATTTTAAGGTCAAATATATTCCTGGTTTAACCAATTCAATGCCTGATTATTTATCACGTTCTCCAGTCGATGATGCTTAAGAAGACCCTGACGAAATCTCAATTCTTATTTCCAAAGCGACACCAACAGATTTCGATAATATTCCCAATCATTTACATGTTGTTACAGCTGTTGAAATTGAAACTCGTGCTATGAAATTACGAAACGCAAAATTACCTAATACCAATAGCACGGAACAGTTAAAATTTGATTCTCTAGATACTTCTCTCGAAGAGAATCGAATTATTCCATTTACAAATGAACAATTAAAAGAAGCTCAACAACAGGATGATTATGCAAATACAATTTTGAAGAATATAAAGAAACGAAAAAACTATCTAATCA